AGGAAGAGGTAGGAACGAAGGATGTGGGGGAGAGGAGGAGTAGGAGGAAAGGGAGTAAGGAACGAAGGAAGAGAGTAGGAGGAAAATGAGGAGGGAGTAAGGAAAAAAAGAAGAGGAGTAAGGAGTAATGAAGGAAAAGAAGGGGGAAGGGAATAAGGAAGGAAAGAAAGAGGTAGATGGAGAAGAGAAAGACTGGGAGAGGTAGAGGGACGATGTAAGGTGGAATAAAGGGCGGTAAGGAAGAGGCAGAGGATAAAAGGAGGGAAGGACTGAGAAAGAGAGAGAGGAAGGAAGAATGGAGGGAAAATTTAATAAGATAAATAGAAAGACTTTAAGAGAGAGAGAGAGAGAGAGAGAGAGAGAGAGAGAGAGAGAGAGAGAGAGGCCAAAGTCTGAAGGTTAATGAAGTGTGAACTGAAGACAAGAGAAGAGATAAATTTTCTTTATGGTGTGGTGGTCCTGACTCACTGACTCACTGACCGATTTACTGACTCACCTTCCTGCTGACTCACTGATTCACCCTACTGCTGACTCACTGATTCACCCTCCTGCTGACTCACTGATTCACCCTACTGCTGACTCACTGATTCACCCTCCTGCTGACTCACTGATTCACCCTCCTGCTGACTCACTGATTCACCCTCCTGCTGACTCACTGATTCACCCTACTGCTGACTCACTGATTCACCCTCCTGCTGACTCACTGATTCACCCTACTGCTGACTCACTGATTCACCCTCCTGCTGACTCACACTGGATTCACCCTCTACTGCTGACTCACTGATTCACCTCCTGCTGACTCACTGCACCTCCTGCTGACTCACTGATCACCTCCTGCTGACTCACTGATCACCCTCCTGCTGACTCACTGATCACTCCTCCTGCTGACTCACTGATCCTCTGCTGACTCACTGATTCTCCCTCATGATGACTCACTGATTCACCACTCTCTGCTGACTCACTGATCACCCTCCTGCTGACTCACTGATTCTCCCTCATGATGACTCACTGATTCTCCCTCATGATGACTCACTGATTCACCCTCCTGCTGACTCACTGATTCACCCTCCTGCTGACTCACTGATTCACCCTCCTGCTGACTCACTGATTCACCCTCCTGCTGACTCACTGATTCACCCTCCTGCTGACTCACTGATTCACCCTCCTGCTGACTCACTTTACCTGTCGTCTTATAATCCTGAGAGAGAAAAAAAATTTAAACGTAAGTAACGAGACACATTTATGGCTGAGATACATTAACACTTGTTACTGAGAGACATTTTCACTTGTTACTGAGAGACATTTACATTTGTTACTTGCTACTGACTCACTATTTCAGCTCTGACTCACCATTTCAGCTTTAACTCACCACTGAGTCACTATTTTGTCTCTTGACTCACCACTGACTCACCATTTTGTCTCTTGACTCACCATCGTGAACAAAATGCTGAGAGACGAGACTTTACACGGCATTAAATTCTTTCCCCGGGTCGTAACTCTGTTTGGTACATGTATTGGGTGAGAGAGAGAGAGAGAGAGAGAGAGAGAGAGAGAGAGAGAGAGAGAGAGAAGATTAGCACAGACAGACAGACAGAAACACAAAACAATTCTCACCTGTTAATTAACCTCTTAAGTACAGGTACACTAAAGACTCACACCTTGTTAGTGACTCTTAAGTACAGGTGGGAAGGGGCGCGACATACACAGACCTTATAAGTGTAAACAGACCTTTAAGTAAACCAGCTGGCGACCTATAAATAGTAAAGGGGTCTGTTTTTAAGGGTGGAGCAGATGTGGAAACACTTGATAAAGATGGGGGGAAGGAAGTGTAAATATTGAGAGAGAAGGGGAGGGAGAGAGAGGGGGTGGGAGAGAGGGAGATTGGAATTAGAGAGAGATGGAGAGAGGGAGAGTGTGATTGGACTTAATAGAGAGAGAATAAGAGAGAGAGAGAGAGAGAGAGAGAGAGAGAGAGAGAGAGATGAGAAAATGTAATAACCAGTTGAGATAAAGATTATAAATAAGAAAAAGATGAGAAAAAAAAGGAGAAAGAATTAAGAGCTAAGAATAGAATCCCAAAAGAGACACATTTCAGCTCTAACACAAGAGATAACTTTCAAAATGGCGCCGATATGACATTGAGACTATACCTAAACTTATTTCTCTTGTTAGAATGTAAATAAAAAACTCATAAACACTTAACATAACGAATAGTTCCAAGATGGCGCTGCAATTATACTGAGACTTTAACATTTCAATCAGTCTAAGGGTAATTATTCAATCTAGGTCTCATTAGGTCATTTGAACCCCATTGCCCCTTTAATAGGAAGGTAATTAGGAGGAAAAGGGTTAAATAAAAGGGTTAAATAGCCTAAGGGTCATTCATTCATAGGCAGCTGGAGTAAGTTAAGCTGTAGAAAGGGGAGCTTTTAGACGCCTACTGGCTGGCTAGGGTAGTCTATTGTGTGTGTGTGTGTGTGTGTGTGTGTGTGTGTGTGTGAGAGAGAGAGAGAGAGAGAGAGAGAGAGAGAGAGACTGACATTCCCCCCCCCAAAAAAAAAGAGTCGTAATATTAAAAATTTTTATGAGTTGAATGATTGACTGACTCACTTATCGACTGACTCACTTATTAACTGACTCACTTATTGACTGACTTATCGACTGACTCACTAGGTATAGCAGATCATCCTGAGAAATAGTGAGTTGAAAGTTGCTTGTGGTGGAGGTAGGAGAGTGTTCCCTACCTTGTCAATGGCTGAAGTGGCATCGATTTGACTTGAAGGATGGACAGATAAGGAGGGAGGGAGGGAGGGGAGGGAGGGGAGAAGGAGGAGAGAGAGGGAGGGAGGGGGAGAAGGAGGGAGAGGGGGCGTGTGGTAAGGAGGAGGGAAGGTTGGGAGAGATAATGAAGGAGGAAGGTGAGAAGGAGAAGGTAAAGAGAGAGAGAGAGAGAGAGAGAGAGAGAGAGAGAGAGAGAGAGAGAGAGAGAGAAAAATAGAAAATAAAAAAGAAGGCAAAACTACAAAGAACAAAAACACAACAAAAACAAACACATTATATACCACCAGTGACGTCATACAATGTTAATAATGTACAGTGACGTCATACAATGTTAATAATGTACAGTGACGTCAAAGAGTTGCCAGATAGCCCATAAGAGCTCATAAGGGAAGGGTTCACATGAAGATTAATCACCCTTAACTTATTTCACCAGGATGATTAAACACTTTAACCAGACTTAACCTAACCTAATCTAACCTAACACAACCCAGGTGATTAAACGTGAGATTAGAGCAGGTTTGATTAGGTTAGGTTAGAGTTAGGTTGAGTTAGATTAGCGTAGGTTAGGTTAGCTTATGGTATGTTAGGTTAGGTTAGTTTAGGCTAGATTAGGTTAGGTTAGATTACGTTAGATTAGCTTAAGTTAGGTTATGTTTGATTATGTTATGTTAGGTTAGGTTAGGTTAGGTTAGATTAGATTACGTTAGATTAGCTTAAGTTAGGTTATGTTTGATTATGTTATGTTAGGTTAGGTTAGATTAGCTTAAGTTAGGTTATGTTTGATTATGTTATGTTAGGTTAGGTTAGCATTAGGTGTTTTAATCACCAGGTAAAATAAGCTGGGGTCCCTAAAGGTAGGTATCCCTAGCCAATCACACATAATAACATCACTACTGGCGGACCTTACGATAATTTATCCCTTTTTACTGAAGATGATGAAAATGTCTGAATAGGAGGGTTTTTGTTATCTTATTTCGCAATAGAATAAATAAAAGGAAAGAAAAAAATACTTTATTATTAATTTACTGAAGTGACTAGTGACATTTTCTAAGTGAAGGCAATGTTAAGTGTGTTGTGATGTTACTTATAAAACTTAAATCCTCACGAGAATATAATCTAAGTAGTGTATAGAAATTACGTACAAACACTTTTTTTTAAGGTAATTCGTTACGTTTACCTGAAGATAGTGATGTTACGTGAAGATAATTAGAATGCTGTGTGAAGTAATGGAATTTGATTTTTTTTAATTAAAGATTGAAAAAAATGTAATTTGAAGATAATTTTACGAAGATACATTTACTTGAAGCTAGAAAAATGATGAGACGTGAAGTAGGGAAGTGAAGTAAAGAATTTGAGTGTTGCTTCAAGGTGAAAACTAGTGAAGATATCCTAGTAGACGTCACCTGAGCTAGACGTTAATTACTACACACCTGTCTTATTGTGGTGACGAATGCCTGTGACGTTACCCACTTCCGTCACAAGTTTCGTTACTCAGAGGCCGCTGGTTCGTCACGTTACGCTGCGTTACGCCCACCCATCACAAGTCCTGTTACCAAGAGGTCATCAACATGTATCTAACGCGTCATCTATTAGTAACAAGTTCATTACCACTATTACTGTTATTGCTGTTACTACTACCACTATTACTGCTACATAACAACACCACCGTTACTATCACACCCTTAGCGTCATTACACCACTAACACCACACCACACTACTAGCGCCATCAGAGCCACACCACACTACTAACTTCAATGCACCAATAACACCACACCACACCACAACCACACTACCAGCACCATTAAAACCACACAACATTACTAGCTTCACTGTACCAATAATACCACACCACTAGCACCACACCACCATTACCACTATTACTGTTATTGCTGTTACTACTACCACTATTACTGCTACATAACAACACCACCGTTACTATCACACCCTTAGCGTCATTACACCACTAACACCACACCACACTACTAGCGCCATCAGAGCCACACCACACTACTAACTTCAATGCACCAATAACACCACACCACACCACAACCACACTACCAGCACCATTAAAACCACACAACATTACTAGCTTCACTGTACCAATAATACCACACCACTAGCACCACACCACCAATAATACCACACCACTAGCACCACACCACCAATAATACCACACTACTAGCACCACACCACCAATAATACCACACTACTAGCACCACACCACCAATAATACCACACCACTAGCACCACACCACTAGCACCACACCACTAGCACCACACCACCACCATGATTGACTGGGTAAGCATCGTGCGTCACTCCCGGCGTAGATTCAGCAACTACATGTACGCCGGGCCCTCCAGGGTGCGTCGGAGGAGAAAGAAACCTATCCTACCTGCCCACGCTGCCGCCGCCTCCTCCTCCCTCGCCGCAGAGGTTAAAGGAGACAGGAAGAACGAGGAGGAGGAGGAGGAGGAAGAGGAAGGCAGACAAGGAGGACTAGTGGGCTTGTTTTATCCCTGTGATCTCTGTGGTTGTCTGCCTAAGAAATACGTAAGTACCAACCGTCATGAATGTGTACTTTATTGTTTACAGACATTGAGATACTTCCAGGTATTTCCTCCATTCGTGATTTTGTTTACACATATGGATTGTTTTGTTTACGAACTTTCGTTGATTCGTGTTCCAGTTGTATTCTTGTTTACAGAGTTTGGTTGTAGTTGTTGTGGTTAAATACAACTTTAATCATCGTACTCAAGCAAATATGATACTTTGGGCTAATAATTGTACTCAGGGGGGGTTGACACCGTACTCAAAGGGGTAATACAGTACTCAAAGGGGTAATACAGTACTCGGAGGGTTAATACAGTACTCAAAAGGTTAATGACAGTACTCAAAGGTTTAGTACCGTACTCAAAGGGTTAATGACCGTACTCAAAGAGTTAATACCGTACTCAAGGATTAATTCACTACGTAATTAAAACCACAAACTACTATTTCCCGCCAAAAGTATAATATTTTTTACCGGGAGAATATAAGTATTTTTTTTTTATATCTTATAAAGGTTTAATAATATGGCGAGACTGATCTGTTGGCAATCTCGGGAACACGTCTATTTATGCCACGTCAAGAGTGTTGTGTGTGTGTGTGTGTGTGTGTGTGTGTGTGTGTGTGTGTGTGTGTGTGTGTGTGTGTGTGTGTGTGTGTGTGTGTGTGTGTGTGTGTTTCGTAAATTCTCAATCATTCGTGCATTTAAGATTTTCCCTTCCCCTTCCTTCTCTTCTTTCCTTCCTCCCCTCCTTCTCCTTCTTGTCCTCCTTCTTCCTCCTCCCATAACCCCCTCCCCTTCCTGCCTCCCCCTCCCCAGAGTTGGCAGGTGAAATATTTTTAACGAGCGAATCATTGGGTAGTTGATCCCAAGGGAGGGGGAAGGAGGGTAGGGGAAGGGTAGGGGGTATCCATGCCCTGTTGAGGTAGGGGAAGGGTAGGGGGTATCCATGCCCTGTTGAGGTAGGGGAAGGGTAGGGGGTATCCATGCCCTGTTGAGGTAGGGGAAGGGTAGGGGGTATCCATGCCCTGTTGAGGTAGAGGAAGTGTAGGGGGTATCCATGCCCTGTTGAGGTAGGGGAAGGGTAGGGGGTGAACATGCCCTGTTGAGACCACGTACCCAGATGGTAGATGTGTGGGTAGCGAGTGATAACTATGATCACCTGAACATTAGACACCCCTTGCTTTTTATTTCACCTGATGATTAAAACATCCTAACGCTTGCTACTTGGTGGGTTAGGTTAGATTAGATTAGGTTAGGTTAGATTAGGTTAGGTTAGGTTAGATTAGGTTAGGTTAGGTTAGATTAGGGTGCTTAATCATCAAGTGAAATAAGCTGGGGTGTCTAATCTTCACGTAAATTGGTATGTTCTTTCTGTATGTATGTATGTATCGGGGTATGTATGTATCGGGGTATGTATGTATGTATGTATGTGTGTATGTATGTATGTATGTATGTATGTATGTATGTATGTATGTATGGTAGAGGGTTGCCAGTTAGTGTTTGTGTATTGGACGAGGATGACAACACGTCACTCCTGGTGTGATTTATGAGCGTGACTGACGACGTGTGCAGATGTGACTATATATATACACATGTGTCTTTGAGACTCCCATATTAATAACTAGGCCAGCTGGTTAGGTGGCTCGAGACAGCTGGTTCAGGCAAGGTGGGATAATGGGTAATAAATTTTTCTGACTTGTGATATGATTAACCTAACCTAACCTAACCTAACCTAACCTAACCTTTCCTTAGCTTACCTTAATTTACCTTATCTAATCTAATCAATGCTTCCCTCCCTCCCTCACTCCCTTCCTCCCTCACTCCCTCCTTTCCTTCTTCCCTCCTTCCTTCGCATTAACCCTTTTCTTCTCTTCCTCCTTCCCTCCTCCCTTCCTTCCCTCCCAGTAACCCTCTCCCTCCCTTCTCCCCCTTCCTTCCTTCCCTCCCTCCCTCACTTAACTCCCTCCCCCTCTCCCCTCGTTATTATGTAAACTACCTCTTCTATAGCAATTATCACGTCTGTTTGTAATTATTATCATTCTCGTATTTTCCAAGCGTGTGTTAGTTGCCTTTGTGAGCTTATGTTAATCTTTCCTGAAATTAACCATTAACAGATGTAAAGATTATTATTTTAACATTAACATTGGAATGTTTTTTTTACTTTTTTGTCTGTAAGGTTAAATATCTCTAAGCTAAATTGAATGTTTTTACTTTTTTGTCTGTAAGGTTAAATATCTCTAAGCTAAATTGTGTTAAATTGTGTTAAATATTTCAACATTGTATTGCGACGAATATTTTCACTGGAATTTGTTGAATATTTTAACTACGGAATGTGTTAAAATATTTACTCATTGATGTGTTAAATTCTTTAGCCCAAAGAGTATTAATATTCTTACCTGTAAAACATGTTAGATATATTAACTTCAGAATATTAACATCTTTACTCTAGTAGATATGGTAGTCTGGGTACTAATTGTCCATAATTTAAGGTAGGGATTAGTAATTAACTTATTATGAACAGGTAGAGAGGGTGGACAGGTGGATGAAATGTCGGTTTAATTTTTTACCTGTGGCAAATTTATTTTCATCTGGGTGTGAGAGGTGAGAGAATTGTGTGAGAGGTGAGAAACCAGTGTGAGAGGTGAGAGAATTGTGTGAGAGGTGAGAAACCAGTGTGAGAGGTGAGGTTATGGGACTCTTAGCTCCTGTTGCTTATAAACAACAAGTGTGTTGATAGACCAGCTGATACAACCAAACCCCGCCCCCTTTTAGCGTCCTTAGCAACCAGATGTAATCCTTGGGTGTTGATTGGTTGCTTGTTGCTAGGTAAGTCAGGTAGGTAGCTCTCTTAGCAACCATCGACCAATCAACACGCCAGAATCCGGTTGCTAAGGACGCTAAAAGTAGGCATAGATACGCACATCTACTGTACACACACACACACACACATACACTCTCTCTCTCTCTCTCTCTCTCTCAACTGAGGATTAACGAGAGTTCAGGATTAAGGGATTTACATGGTGATATAGGGTTTAATATATTGGCTTTATTGGGGGATTTCGGGAAAATTGAGGATTAATGGGAATTTTTATGGGATTAGGACGTATTGGGGGATTCAGTGAGGGATTGACACTGGACACCTGACACCCCAGACTTATTAACACACCTGGCACTTAGACACATCTGACACTAGACACACCTGACACTAGACACACCTGACACTAGACACATCTGACACTAGACACCTTACTTCTGACATACCTGACACTAGACACATCTGACACTAGACACACCTGACACTTGACACACTTGATATCTTACTTCTGACATACCTGACACACCTCCGACACTTACATCTGTCACCTTAATTAACGTGTTATCTACTGATAGGTTGACGAGTTTCTCTTGGCGCCTGTATGTATGTATGTATGTATGTATGTATGTATGTATGTATGTATGTATGTATGTATGTATGTATGTATGTATGTATGTATGTATGTTATAAATAAATGCTCCGCCATGACAATGTGACGTCACTATATTTTCTGTGACGTCACTATATTTTTGTTTTGCTAGATGGCATTTTTTTTTACTCCACTTCTCTACCTCCTTCCCCTCCTACCTTTCTATGCCTCCTCCTCCTCCTCTTCTCCCCTCACCTTCTCTCCTCGTCCTCCTCCTCCTCCTCTTCTCCCCCTCACCTCTCCTCCTCCTCCTCCTCCTCCCTTCTCCCCTCATCTCCCCCCTCACCTCCTCCTCCTCCTCCTCCTCCTCTTCTCCCCTCACCACCTTCTCTCCTCGTCCTCCTCCTCCTCTCTCCCCCCTCTCCTTCTCTCCTCCTCCTCCTCCTCCTCCCTCTCCTCCCTCCCCTCCCCTCCTCTCCTCCTCTCTCCTCTCCTCTCCTCCTCTCCCCCTCACCTCCTCTCCTCCTCCTCTTCTCCCCTCCCCTCACCTCTCTCCTCCCTCCCTCCTCCTCTTCTCCCCTCACCTCTCCTCCTCCTCCTCCTCCTCCTCCTCTCCTCTCCTCTCCCTCCCCTCCTCCTCCCCTCCTCCTCCTCGTCCTCCTCCTCCCTCCTCCCTCACCTTCCTCCTCCTCCTCCTCTCCTCCCTCCCCCCTCCTTCTCCTCCTCCCTCCCTCCTCCTCCTCCTCCTCTTCTCCCCTCTCCTCCTCCTCCCCCCCCCTCCCCCCCCCCTCCCCCCTTCCTCACCCCTCACATCATTATTATTTTTATTTCATTATTTCTTTTATGTTTTATCTTTGTAAAACATATGGGAGAAAGTGAGTGAGAGGTGGGTGAAGGGAGTGGAAGGAGAGTGGAGTGAGAGGGAGATGAGTGAAGGAGAGTGGAGTGGAAGTGAGTGAAGGGCGTATGAGAGGTGAGGAAAGAGTGGAAGGGCGTATCTGGTAATGGGGAAGAGGTGTATGAGAGTGAGAGGTGTATGGTGAGTGGTGAGTGAGGGCTGTGGGAGGTGAGGTGAGAGCATGGAAGGTGAGGTGAGTGAGTGAGAGGGGCGTATGCAAGGTATGGGGAGAGAGGGTGTGTGAGAGGGGGTGGGAGGGCGTATGGTGGTGGTGGGAGGGCCGTATGGGAGGTGAGGTGAGTGAGGAGGGCGTATGAGAGGAGGTGGAGGGCGTGAGAGGAGGTGAGGTGAGGTGAGGAGGGCGGTCTGCAGGTAATGGGGAGAGAGAGAGGGTATGACAGGGAGTGGGAGGGCGTGGGAGGTGAGGTGAGGTGGAGAGGGCGTGGGAGGTGAGGGTGGTGAGAGGGGTGGAGAGGGAGAAGGGTGGGAGGGGGCGTATGGGAGGTGGAGAAGGAGTGAGAGGGGCGTATGAGAGAGAGGTGGAGGTGAGAGGGGCGTATGAGAGGTGTTCTATTTATAGCTCTCACCAGACTGACGCTTTGATATGTGTCTCTCCTCCTCCTCCTCCTCCCTCCTCCTCCTCCTCCTCCTCCTCCTCCGATTTTCTTCCTCTTGTTTTATCTTTTATTTTCCTTATCTTCAAGAGATGCGGGTAGAAGGGAGGAGGAGGAGAGAGAGTGTTCATGACTCACTCGATCATGTCTACTTGCCAAGTACCTGTGTGTGTGTGTGTGTGTGTGTGTGTGTGTGTGTGTGTGTGTGTGTGTGTGTGTGTGTGTGTGTGTATTATACCTCTATGTGTTTGTTTTGTTTTGTTTACACCATTAAACACAATAAACAATGAACATAAACAAGATATTAACGAGGCAGTTAATTTAGCGGAACATCTTGAAGGCACAGGACTGACGACAGTGCCAAGGACAGTGCCAAGATGGGTATAATTAATGATGTTTTGACCAGTGACCAGTGCCATTATGTAGTGCCAATTAAAATACTCTCTCGTGTGTGTGTGTGTGTGTGTGTGTGTGTGTGTGTGTGTATAGTGAAACAGTCATGATTTCCCTCTACCTCCCTCCTCCTGCATCCTCCCCTCCCTCCCCTCCCTCCCTCCCTCTTATCTGATCGTATAAATAAATAGAGGAAATCAGATCTTCCTGCCATTTAATGTTGTCACGAAAGTCCATTTTTGTGTCTTTTAAAACCTACTCAGTGAAGCCTATTATATGAAGCTGCCTTGGCCAATCAGAGAACCTTGTATAGTTGCCTGTTCAGATGTCGACCAATCAACGCTCAGGTTTTTAAGGATCTCTTCAGGCGTCGACCAATCAACACTCAGGTTATTAAAGTTTGTTCAGGCGTCGACCAATCAACGCTCAGGTTCTTAAGGATCTCTTCAGGATTCAACCAATCAACTTTCAACTTCTCAAAGATACGTTCTGTCTCTGTTTCTCTTCTGGGGAGGAGGAGGGAAGGAGGAGGAGAGAGAGAGGAGGAGAGAAGGCAAAGGAGAAAGAGGCGAAGGAGGAGGAAGTAATCAATGGTGGTGCATTGATGTTTAGGCCTTTGGTAGATACGAGGGTAGATTTCTCTCTCTCTCTCTCTCTCTCTCTCCCTCTCTCTCTCTCTCTCAGGTCAAAACTGGAGGCATCTTACCTTAGAGTTTACTAATATATTGCTACGATATTGGAACCGGTGTGTGTGTGTGTGGGGGGTGTATTTTCTGGCATCATGTGAGCGTCATAAATCACACAAATATAAGTAGCTTTTAATGAACCTGTACACCTGGAAGTCAAGCAATTACGTCAGGTATAAGGTCAATAGTCACCTGTTTCCTCCTAAATTTGAAGTTATGGCCCACTTTGTCTTTATGACCATGGACCCTTGGACCCTGGATCCTTGTGGTTAACCGGGACCTAACCTAACCCTGACCTAACTTGACCTAACCTAAACCTAACCTACTATACTTTAACCTAACGTATCTTGACCTAACCTAACCCTGACCTAACACCTCACCTAAACCTAACCTACTATACTTTAACCTAACGTATCTTAACCTAACCTAACTGACCTAACCCACTAATAAACCTAACCTACTATACTTTAACCTAACGTATCTTGACCTAACCTAACCCTGACCTAACTTGACCTCACCTAAACCTAACCTACTATACTTTAACCTAACGTATCTTAACCTAACCTAACCAAACAGCTGATTAAAATTCGTTTCTCTTTCTCTTCTTGTCAACAGAAGTCTCGTTACGATGACAGTGTCCCACCTGTCAGCGCCTCCCAGATGATTGACATGTCCTCTCTAGACGGTGTCCCACGCAACGCTCACAACCACGACGTGTCCAAGGTAAGTGTGAATGTCCCATGTCCAGAATCACGACTCTCTGTAAGGTACGTGTCTCAATTACGGTTTCTCTAAGTTGATGTCCAAACTATATCGTCTCCGAGGTAAGTGTCCTAACCATGACCATAACCATGTCCTTAACCACGTCGGCTGGATGTATAGGTGTCCCAAACCACGATATCTCTTAAGCTGAATGTCCCAACCATAACAAAATCCTCAACGTGTCATAAGGTACTGATGTCCTAATAATAACATCACTCAATGTCCTAAACACGACCATAACCACGGCATCTGTTAGAATAAATGTCCTTTACCCATAACTAACTACCCCCCCTCCCTCCCACATCCACAATCTCTACCTTCGTTATATACCTTGATGTTATCCTAGTATCCATACCTACGATACTAAATCCATTATGAAAATTAGAATACAGTTGCGATATCATAACCCGGGGAGCTATCGTATTATGTGGTGGGCGTGGGTGATAGCCAGGGGGGGATAGCGAATGATAACGAAGGTAAAGGAGGAAAAGTTTGGTAGGTCGGAGGTATTATTGATCGTGAGGAAAATGGCAGGAAAGAAAGTTGTCCTTATTTTTATTACTTTTTTTTTACGAATTCTCAGAAATACGAAACATTGTGAAGATTACTGGTCGTGTGATAGATAGAGATTGATTCGTGTGATAGAAAGTACTATTTAATTTTTGTAGTTTAGTAAGAATATAAGCTACATAATACAGTTTTAAAGGTGAATACATACGCTACAGGACGGAAAACAGTGTAGTAAGTTAGTTCACGCTACAGAGGAAAGTGGGACCATTTTCTACGATAAGAAGAAACGGACACAGCCTGAGAGTGTTTTAAGGGTAACTTGAATTATATTAAAACTCGCTTATATCACCACGTTTAACATCCCTACGCTACTTAGATTTATTTAAGAGGAAGGTGTTAAGGCTATGTTATATTCTAAGTGCAACAGAAGTGTTATAATCGGTAGGTAAACGATGATTGTAGTTAAAATGATATCTTAAACCGCCTAGTGCTTATCCAGTTGTCCTCGAGTCGCTATTTTAATTATTATTATTTTTATTTAATTTCCTCATATTAGAATACATTTTAAAGGAATATTTCATGTAATGATTCGTAAAGTGGGTGAATTTTACATAATATATCAGTCACCTTCAGTTTATGACCGTATTAAAAATATACATCATCTGTAAGATTACATTATATATTACATTATATATTACTCTGCCTCGTGTCAATTCCGTTCACCTTTTTTTAATAATATGACAGGAAGAGTTTTATTAATACCGAGTGATTGACAACATTAATTACAGGTGGGTGGGGGCAGCTAAGGAGGGGAAGAGGGTAGGGAGATTGGGGAGGGGGTAGGTGGAGGGAAAGGAGGTAGGGAAGGGGAATATTGGGGTAGGGGAGGGAAGAGGGTGTTGGGAGGGGATTGTAGGGGAGGGGTTTGGGAGGGAAGAGGGTGTGGAAGGGACAGAGGGGTGGGGGGGGACTTGGTCAATAACTGGGAGACAGGAAAGTCGAGGTTATGTTATTTTGTGAATGTTTGTTTCTCTCTCTCATATATTTGTTCCGTTCCATCTATAACTCCCACGTCCCACCCATCACGCCCACACCCAACCCATCACGCCCACACCCACCCATCACGCCCACACCCAGCCCATCACGCCCACACCCCACACACGCCGGGGAATCCTTGTCGTGTAGGATCCGAGATTCGTATCAAGGATCCTTCCACGCCTCGTCCTGCATTCTGATGGCGTGACCTCCTTCCTCCCAAGGTCAAAGGGGAGGAGGGGAGGGTGGACGAAGTAAGGGAAGGCGGGTGGGTGGGAGGAGGAGAAGGAAGGGGAAATAGCTGGCTGTGAGGGAAATGAGTGGAGGGAAGAGGAAGTGAGGGAGGGAGGGAGGGAAGGAAGGAAGTGAGATATGGTTTCAGGAATGATCATGGAGAGGGTGGACGTCTGGAGGGAAGGAGGAGGGAGATGAAGAGAGAGAGAGAGAGAGAGAGAGAGAGAGAGAGAGAGAGAGAGAGAGAGAGAGAGCAGATTTTGTACTGCATCTTCATGCTAAGAGGAAAGCAAGAAGTTGTTTACCCTCAAGCGCCTCACTATGAGCCTCTTGTTTACACGCGCGAAGTCACCTTGAACCGTTTGTTTACATTTTGTCTGGAGTCACTCCACACAGGTATAGGTCACGACACACACACACACACACACACACACACACACACACACACACACACATACACACACACACACACACACACACACACACACACACACACACACACGCACACACACCTGACAAACACATTCTCTCCCTACTATGAATCTCTCTCCCCCTCTCCTCTTCTCCCTCTCCCTCCCTCCCTCCTCCCTCTCTCCCTGTTATGACTTCCTGACTGCGGCGTCTCCCTTGACGTCAGCACCTAATAGTTGTCAACACAGAGGAGTGACCCATTGTGTTTAGTGTTTACAATTGTCTTCTCTTTTAAGTCATGTAATATCTATCGTGTGGGAGTTGTCGTAGATTGAGCCATATGTCTGGATATAGTTAATAAACCCCTCTTTTTAACGGATTATATGGTGAGTCCGTTATTGAGAGGGTTTGTTATGTGTGATACCTCCCTGTAATGGATTAGAGAGGGATGAAATTCCCTTATATCGAGGGTCCGTTAAATGTGACACCTCCATATAACAGATGATATGGAGAGAAAAGTCCGGTATATGGAGGTTTCACTATTTTTTCCCTCACATTTAAATACATTGATAAATTTTAATTCTTTTCTAACGTGAATATTTACTCTACAATTAACCCAACAACACCTTATTTCTCAACAGTTTACGTGAAAAAAAAATAATCGTAAGTTAAAAAAATTAAATCGTATATTAACCCAAATCTGTATTGCAGTCCTGTTGTTCCCGTAAGTTAAGAGATTAATCAAAATATTTCCTGTAGAGTTAACATCATTGATAGCATAATATCCTCATCCCTTTCTTCTCTTCCTCATCTCTCCATCCTCCCCCATCTCTTCTCCCTGCCCTTCTCCTCACCCTCACCCACCCTTCCCCAACCTCCAGAAGGATAATAAAAAAGTCGAATAATATTCCTTCTATTGTCGGGTATTGTCGGCTGTTATTGATTATTGTCGGCTTTTATCGGCTATTGTCGGCTGTTATATCGGCTATTGTCGGCTATTGTTGGCTGTTATCGGCTATTGTCGGCTGTTGTCGGCTGTTATCGGCTATTGTCGGCTGTTGTCGGCTGTTATCAGCTATTGTCGGCTGTTTTCGGCTATTGTCGGGTATTGTCGGGTATTGTCGGCTGTTTTCGGGTATTGTCGGGTATTGTCGGCTGTTTTGTATTGTCGGGTATTGTCGGGTGTTGTTTATGCATCACTTGGCCACACTCGAGTCATCTGTTCATTTGTTTTCATTTCTTCTGCCACCTCGAGCGGACAGAGAGTGAGTCATGCCCACCAGTTTCTTGCTTTAGGGAAACGTGTGGATGGATGTGGTGAAGTGGTGTGGATATGGTTGAGATGTGGATATAGTAGGAAGGTGTGGATATGGTAGAGATGTGGATATAGTAGGAAGGTGTGGATATGGTAGAGATGTGGATATGAAGTGGGTGTCATATAATTAGGGATGAGGAGATAATGGTTGAGATATTAATGGGTAAAACTAAGGGTAGGAGGGCTGTGGTCGCCATCCCTCAGACATGTAATAATGGCGGTATGATTGATTGACTGAAAGTGTGTTGAAACGTGAGGCTTAATGACTAATTGATGAGTGTATTGTGTGTGTTTAAGAAAAAAAAAAAAAAAAAAAAAGAGAGAGAGAGAGAGAGGCGTTAGTGGTATAGTGTGAGTGAGTTTAAGTGCACGTGCGTGTGTATGTTTATGTATATACAGTATGTAAGGCGGGAATCAGGCAAACAAAGAGAGGGAGGGAGAGAGAGGGAGGGAGAGAGGGAGGGGAGGAGAGAGAGGGGAGAGAGAGGGAGAGAGGGAAGGTAATGTCCGTGTGTGCCTCTGTGTGTATACGTGTACATGTATAAGTATATGTGAGAGGCAGAGAGAGGGAGGGAGTGTAGGTGGAGGTGGTGGTGGTGGTTGTGGTAGTGGTGGTGGTGGTGGAGTGGAGGGAGGCCAGGGCCAGGCAGTCAGTGACGCCGCCGCCAGACAGAGCTCAGTAGCCTCAGCCCCGGTAGTGGTAGCGTACAACTCTTCTCCTCCTTTCTCTCACTCCCTCTCTGTCTCTCTCTCTCTCTCTCTCGAGTTGTGCATTCACCTCCTGTGTTCAATATTTCCACACTGAGACGATCAAAAGGTCTCCTGACATTCACTCATCGTGGACACCGTCGCTCCCTCACAGACCCAACAAGGAGGAGGGGCCAGCGTTATATAGTATTGCGTGCCTTCATCAGCTCCTCTTAACACGTACTGATAATTTGTAAACAATGCAACCCTAAAACTTAACAGCATGGATGAATGAATAAAACATCTTAAGCTATTACAGAAAAATACTCGGATTATGATTAATATTTCCTTAGATATTAAAGGAAGTGATGTATATCCACTTTATGAGATACGAGGGGTTTAATTTAAGCTCTGGGAGGTGTGCCATCTCGAGCCTTACGGTACGGTAGAGAGAGCGGAGGGAGCAGTAAAGCCGTGTTATGTACGAGAGGCCACTGATGTAATGCCTAGATCCTTCTGTGTCTCGGGGCCTACACACACCACCTCTCTGCCCCCACACCACTACGAACCACCACGTGATTTTTCCCGCGCAATTTAAGGATGTCAACAAGACGTCCCAGTGTTCCCGCGCATTTATGTTTTTGTTGTAAGGAATATTACTGGCAGAGTTAACACCCCCAGTTGATTTTTTTTTTCAGTGTCGAGGAAGTGTCTGTGTTTGTGTGTGTGTGTGTGTGTAGCTCTGGTTTTCCTGAGTATTCTTCAGCTGTAACGAGTGTGTTTACCGGCGAAAGGAAAAAAAAGGGTTTGGAA